TGATTCACAAAAATTTGCATTTTGTAATATTTTCGCTTGTGGTGATTTAAATAATGGAACACAGCCGATTTAATTTTCAAATATTTAATATTAAAATATTTAAATAATTTTTTTTTTAATTACAATATGAATAACGTTCAGTAATTAAAAAGACAGTCAACTACAACTTAAATTTTATTATACCTTATAAAATGGACTACTATTACTTATGACTATCAAAACAACAAAGTAACTGACACAATAAATACAAATAAATTTAAAAATATTTTGCTTTTCGCTTTTATTTTGACTATTTTATTCATTTGCATTACTAGATTTTTATGACGTCATTTTATAATCTATCTTTTAAGTTGCGTTTTTTTATACCTGATACCATATGTGATACCATATGTGGAACTAAATATTTTACAATATAAATTATTTTCTTTTTTAAACAGATAACGAAAACTATATCTAATTGTCTCAAGTGTGGAAGTTGTTATCATAATTATAGCTAAAGTTGACACTTATTTGCATGTATGTATGTATTTAATTTTATAAATTTTTTTCAAATTAAATTTAAGTACTAGTAACCTTCATTTCTTATGAGGCCAACATAATTGTGTTAATGCTACATCAGTCTTTGGAGGTTGAGAAAGATAACGGCGCAAGAGATGCACTTTGGCATCTTTTATACACGAAAAGTTAATGATCATTAAGTTGAGAGACTCATAACTTGTGAATTTGCGAAGAAAGCCCAAGTTTAAAGTGGATCTCACTTCAAAATATATAACACGACACTTGAAGATTTTAAAGTGTTTTCATTGGAAAATAAAAATATATTTATTTATATTGTAATTAAAAAAAATGTGTTTTTATATACAATGTGCATAATGAATTCTTACATAATTGTGTTAAAAAGCTAACAACCTTGAGTTTTGTGCATAATATTAATCAACAAGCAATTATGTGATTTACTGCCAACCGCTACTTGCAGCTGGTGGCAAATAGGAACTTCCAGGTGCGGGAATGCTTCCACCTGCTCCAGCATGAGAATTGGATCCAACCGAAAGAGCACCAATCACTTTCAGTGATTTGATTGTTTCAATGGCATCATCAGAAGCACCAGCGGACGCGTAAGCGCCACTATTGGCATAACTGGCAGCATTTGAATGGCCACTGTTACCATATCCAGCTGAACCAGAACTATGTTCGTGTATGACTTTAATAGTTTTGACTGTTTCTGTACCACTATTGGTTGAACCACCATAATTATTTAATGTGCTGGCACCACCTCCATAACCACCAAAACTTCCGTGGCCACTTTGTTCGTGTATCACTTTGATGGTTTTTACTTCAGCATTAGCGGGGTGAACGTTACCACTACTGTAGCCACTATTGACTGCAAAACCTGTGCCAGTACTACCACCAACATATCCGGAAGAATAACCTCCTTCAGCAGCAGAACTAGCTCTAGCACTTTGTTCATGAATGACTTTGATTGTTTTAATTTCCGCACCGCCAACATTATTTTGACTTCCGTAATTAGTACTTGTTCCATAATTGTAACCTGCATTACCGTCTCCATTGGCATATCCACCAGTAGTGGAACTGCTCCCATGCTCATGTATTACTTTAATAGTCTTAACTTCAGCTGCACCACCATTACTATGTCCATCATGTCCGCCATGACTATGGCTATGACTAAAGCCGCCAGAGGCTTGTTGGTGTATTACTTTAATTGTTTTGACTTCGGCATTACCACTATGTGCATTATATGAAGAAGCACTACTGCCGTGACTGTAACCTGCATTTGCTGCACTAGCATAATTTGCACTGTGACCATCAGCTGCTTGTTCGTGTATAACTTTAATAGTTTTTACATCGCCACTTCCACCAGTGTGACTTGCATGGCTATGAGTTTCAGCAAAGCTTGATCCACCATAATCACCACCATAATTACCATGACCACCACTGCTTTGTTGATGTATTACCTTAATAGTCTTAATCTCTGTACCTCCACTGTGGTCATTCACTCCATAATTGCTTTGAGGCGTATTACCAAAATTGGAATAACCAGCGTGATCTGAGTTTCCTGCACTCTCATGTATAATTTTTATTGTTTTTATAGCAGCATCGCTCTGAGTATGTCCACTTCCTGCAGAAATATGCCCGCCACTTCCAGAATATTGACCACTACCATGCGAATAATGCGAACTTTCGCCACCATAGCCAGCGCTATGGCTGGCAACTCCTGAGCTGCCTCCCAAGCCAATAAATCCAGCGGAACAAGTGGTGACCAACGATACCAAAACACATAAGTACAGCTGCCAGTTTTTTTTATAAAAAATATTAATCATTATGTCGAAGGGAATGTTGTAATGGGTTTTCAAATGTCAATCTTACCTTCATCCTCCAAATTTTGTATCTGATCCAAATTAAAAACAATAAAAGTAAGTTGTGCTTCCAAATTCAAACTGATAAAAATTGCACGATAAACTTGCACTTTTATACGAAAACAATAGGAAAAATGCTGCTGACGTTGATAAGTAGGCTGCTCCAACACTCCAACTCCAAATAATTGCTCAATGATGAATAGTAAATAAATATATTTACTACTTGGCGCCTGCGCATATCTGCTCAGCACAAGACACTTTTCTGTCATCTCGAGCAAATAATTTACACTGGATTACAAAGGCCAGGCTAGGTTTTCTAATTAGGTTTTTTCAGTAAGTTTGCTGCTTCCAGTTCATTTGTTAAAAAGTAAAAATAACTTCATTAAGTGTATGCTCTTAGCCGGCTGGGCTTTTTAGTGGAGCAAAATCTAACGTAACTGTTTACATTTTTTCCCACTCGCTCGTCTTTCTCCAACTGACCATTCAAAACTTGATTTATGTTGGTGCTTGGTTCGTTTGGCTTAAGGCAAATACGATGGGTTTTTTTTTATTAATTGATTATTTATTTCGCTGCCGGATAAATTAATACTCTATTAACTTTTTATTGTGTAATTAATTTGATGGGAACTTATGAATTTTAACCAGTCGAACATCACACATATGTAATTCTTATCAAATGAGAAACTTGAATTGAATGTACTAACTTATCACTTACTCAGATACAAGATCTGATTAGTGTTCATTCAGAATTTGGTTCATGCAAATTTGTAAAACGGAAGTCCATTGATTTATTGCTCTTTGGCCATATCCAGTATTTATACATTTTTTACCCATATGAAAAACAGATAGAATAGTGATACTTGTTGTAGTAATAGTAATAGGTATAATGTTTGTATATTGTAAAATGGAATGCCAGTACTAAGAACAATATCAGATAAATATTTGAAAATCAATTGTTTTTACAATTGCAATATAGAATATTAGAATGACATTTAAGTTTCGAATTTTAACCCCTGCTCAAGAAAGAATGTGGTGTTTTGATATAGCCTTTGCTTTGTAATTCGGATCTTGTCTTCAAATCATTATTCCAAAGATTATTGATTTGTTTAGCTGTCGCATATATAAAAATGTTTTAAAAAATGATCTACATTCTAAATTCATGATTCTTTTAAACATCTAGTGTAAAAAAATTATAACCTGATGGCGCTAATAACTGATATGGAAGCCGCCAATTTTTCCAATATACGCTGAACAATTAAAAACTTCCAAATAATTTTTGGTCAGACAGTTTGGTTCGATGGGATACAAGGGGCAGAAGTGTGCCTCTTGGTACCTCACCCACACATGGTGCATTCTGTTCTCGCATACAAGGCTCTGGCGACCGAGCACAGACGGTATAACCTGACAACACGTAGCAGAGAGGAAACTCCCTAGTTACTAAACACCAATTTTATCTCCAGATTTGCAGGGGATCTGGTTCTGCAGGTTGGGAGTTGATCGCAAGGTTAGCAGTCTCGCATCGGAAAAAAACGAAACTTTCTTTAAAAAAGAAGGAGGCCAAATAAGAAGAAGAAGTTTGGTATGATGATTTTTATTATTATTACAAGTTCATGTGTTACGTATTATACGATCTTTAAGAGCTTTAGTGTATTTTTGTTTCACGTTGATAACAAATAGTATATCAAGGTTTTGATAGAAATAACAAATTTTTACTAAGAAAGAATCTTTAACCACTTTTTGCAATACATCGTTTTGATAACGTTCATAAAGTACGGCCATCTACTGTTTTTAGTTGAAAGTTCGAACTTTCAGCCCATAAGGTAACTTACCCTGTTTAATCCTAAGTCAAGTTCTTTCTTTTTTTCTTAAAGTACGCAATCAATAGCAACTTTAAGCTAGTGTAATTGTGTACGTGTGATATATCAAGGTATTTTGCTTCGTTAGCAGGTGGAACTTTTGAAGCACATTAATATACTATATAGATATCTACAAGCTTATTTGATGTATTTTTTTATACTTAATTCTACACGCATTTCAACAGTTCTATAATTTTGAAAAGTTACAGAACTTACAGGTTTAACTGTAACTTACAGTTACAGGCTTAATTCTTGAAATCTGACTGGTTCAATCTCAGGGGTTCTTGAGATAGTTTTGAAAAAATTGGTGTATATTAGAATATAGTGGTGGTTTTCAAGATGGTTTGGGTAGCACTTTTAATGCTTGTAAATTTCTTGTTATATATAGAAAAAATAATAAGAATATAAATTTTGTTTTATTAATGTCATTATTTTTATTTGTTTTTTTATTTTAAAATGATTTAATATGGTTCAATCAACAAATATTACTTTTTTATTTTAAACAATTTAACGGAAAAAACATTGCAATATAAATTGGATTTGACCGACTTACAACATTAATTAAGATGGAAACTATAGCGAAAATTTAATAAACTCAAATTATTTATAATTAATAAATCTGAGAGTTCAATTGAGATTTGAAATAAATTTAAGAAAGATAATAATAATTTTAAATATTCTAAATTAGCTAATATAAATGTTTTATTGTTTATTATTAGTATACATACAGTATTTAAATAAATATTATTAAAATATTATTATATAAAACAGCAAACCTAACAAAAAGGATTCCTATTTGTTTATAATAAAATATAATGAAACATCAATGAATAAAAATTTGGAGGGAATATACAATACATGTTTATGGAGACACACCTTTTGTACAGATTCTTATATGACTAGACGTATAGACGTATGCTTAACTTTTAACTTAAACTTAAGTAGTTCTCATTAATGAGTGAGTAGGAGTAATTTATTTCTTAATAAGTAATTCTATAAATACTGGTTTTTGAAAAGTTATTATAATGTGTAACAAAGAGAAGAGTCAAAGTATTGTCTAATCTTGTAGAATCACAAATATAACGCAGACGAACTGACCTTCAACTCTTCTAAAAATGTATTCATTTCAAATTTATACTTGCACCGATTGTCAAGTTGCCAATTAAAAACTAAATCGTGAGGAATTATAAATTCCTTTACAAAATTCAAATGTACAAATTTTAAAAAGATATTTCTTTCCTTATTAAAAAGTTTTCTTTTTTATAATACAAAATTTTACTCAAACCCTCTGCGTTTAGAGTATAAAAACCACCAATTAATTAAAATCAAATTTAGAAAAGAATAAGATGAAATATTAAAATTTTTTTTTTGTTCACTCTAGTCTAGGGTTATGTGTGGATTTGTGTATGTAAAACCATGGAATTGCTTCTGATCCATTGATTGCAGAATTTCCTTATCAATAGGTGTAAGACGCACGCGTTCCTTTGTGAAGACACGATCGAAGTATTGAGTGTCTAATGGATGTTTCTAAAGAAAGACCGAAGAGAAAATTAATTTGTTATTTATTAAATTTTAAATTATAATAAAATAAAAAATAAATAATAGTATCAATGTTTAAAAACCTATTCTTCAAACTAATTTTGGGACATTTTTTTATTGATAAAGTTGATCGGTAATTGATGCATATTCCGTGATTGCATTGCACACTTCAGGTTATTTCGGAATGCGTATAGGGGGTCTTCAAAAAAATTTAGAAGAACTGTTGTGACATATATTTTATTTTCTGGGGTATTTAATATTCGACTACTTCTCTATGCTTCAGAGAAGATGCTTAAGATTTTCAAACTCTTACTAACTTCTTAGAGTCACACTGTGAACAGTGGAAATGTGAATTTGACTAAATTTATATATGATAATGGTAATTAGAAACGGTGGGCGTCTAACTGCTGGCAAAAAATGGACATTTAAAAGTAAAATAATTAAAATCTTTACCAAGTCAATATCAAAGTGAATATTAATGTTATATAGCAAAAGTTTTCAAGCAATGATGATATATTACTTAATTGGAAATGAAAATTGTTATTTCAATTACGGTGTCTAAAATTGGGGTTTTTATACCTTGTGGACAGGTAGAATCTCCACCTAATTATATTTTGAAAAATATATTTCAACTTCTATTAATAACATCTATGTACGCGTTTTCATTAGAAACTAAGATTGAGGATAGTCATTTGATCAGGCTAGACCTGCACTTGATGTATATACATATAGAAAACTATAGTTCTATGTGACAATCATAGAAAAATATGTTTGAAAGCAAGCTATTGAATATTGTTAGGGGATGTGGCACTGCGATCGTCGGGTCTACTGTGCCCTTCATTGAATATAATATAACAAATGTTTTAACAACTTATTTAAAAATTCGTTTTTTTTAAATACGTACCACTTGAGGTTTAAATGGAGGTACTAGTTGTCGTTTTTCTAAGAGATCCCATTCAATTGGTCTGAAGAAAATGTGATCACTTATATCACCAGCAGGACTATATTGTGAGCCAACACGTTTTGTGTAATCTTTTTCTAAAAGCTTTAAATAAAGAAAGAAAATTGATTGAATGGATTATCTGTCGGTGGAGTGCGAAGTAACTTACACCTTTGAGTATACTAGTTGCCTCAGCTGATATATATACAGGAAACCATGGAATTTCATTGCAAATAGACCAGAAGAGCTCATCTTCATCACAACCACTAAATGGAGATTGTCCAATTAGCATTTCATATAAAAGTACACCGAATGACCACCAATCAACGTTTTGATTATACTTTTCGCCCTATAAGAAGTTATAATTTTTTATATGCGAAAATTTCTCATAGATGCAAAGTTTTTCTACCTTTATGATTTCAGGCGCCATGTAATCTGGTGTACCGCAAAAACTGTCCGCCGTTTTGTCCAGATATATTTGCAATTTACACATACCAAAGTCTGCAATACGTACATGACCTTCGTAGTCTAACAGCACATTGTCTAATTTGAGATCTCTGTGGATTACACAAAGAAGTTTTATTAGAATTAAATTAATATACATATTTTTATAAATTTATACTTGCCTGTATATGATACCTTTCTTGTGTAAGAACTTTAGACCTGAAATAATCTCGGCACCATAAAATCTTGCACGTTCTTCCGAAAAACGACCACTTTCTTGTATGTGGAACATGAGATCACCGCCATTTAAATATTCCATCACAAAAAATAAGTGACTCTTAAAAGATTTAAAAATTTTTATAAATTTATATTCAAAATTGTTGTTAATAGTTAAATATTAATTTTTGAATACACAAAAATGTAACTATGAGATGATTTACAGCTTAGAATGGCACTTGACGACTAAACATTTTTTCGCTAAATTTATTTAACGAGTATGACACTTTATATAAAATTATTCATTATAAAATTTATATCTTATAAACATTTATTTTATAGGTCAAGCCTTCTGTATGTATTAAGATATATATGATTTTAGAAAAAGATATATTTATTGCAGGAAAATGCATTTACTAATTTATGAATTGGTATCTGACGGAAAGGTGAAATTTATTCTTAAATATATAGCTATTTAAATTTTTCTATAATTTGATACCTAATCTCACTACTTGATCGATTGGCTTATTATTAAAGAATAAAACATTTAGATTTGAAATTTGAAAACATATTAGATAGGTTCTCTCATCTTATTCAAGCCAATTTACTAAAACTTATAATTTATACCAATTAAAAAAAACGGTAGAGTTTGAACATAGTTTAGACTATGTTCAGGACTATCAAATTTCAGTCGTGGTCTCGCGTGTTAACATACAAAGCCAACTTATATTAAATTCACATTATTCGGATTTCGATTTCTTTCAATTTTTGGTGTTTATTCGCAAATTACAATTGCACTTGCTGTGCTATTATTTGAGTTGTTTAAAACTAACACATAAACCACAGCTATATGAATGAACTTAACTATGATAAATTGTGGTTTTTTCAAATTTTATCAATACTGGTTGTAGAATTACGAGGGCGCTTTGATAAGTTAGTGACTTTTTGAATTTTCCGCGCAGTTACTCCAAATGCAACAGTGCTGCCGTCAGCTGTAATCTACCAGTAGGCAACTTTTTAATTTTGAGCAAGCTACGTCGTTCAGTTGGTGTTTGATAGCCGTTCAAAGTAGACAACCACGTGAATTTTTACGAAAATGGAAAAAAGTGAATTTCGTGTGCTGATTAAGTCACGATGGCCAAAATCCACGAATTGGGATACGAACTGCTACCCCATCCAGCATATTCTCTAGATTTAGCTCTCTGTGACTATTTTCTGTTTCCAAACCTAAAGATATGGCTGGGCGGTAAGAGATTTGAGTCGGATGAAGAAGTCATTACCGAAACAAACGCGTATTTTGAGACCTTTGAGAAAACCTATTATTTGGAGGGAATAAGAATATTAGAAAAACGCTGGACTAAATGTATCGAGCTAAAAGGTGATTATGTGGAAAAATAAAATGTTTATTTGCCGAAAAAATTTATTTTATTCAAAAAGTCACTGACTTATCAAACCGCGCTCGTACTTGATTTAAATCAATTGCGTTCAGCAAATATTTTGAGTTTGTCATTTAGTCGAATTCAGGGTCTCTTAAGCCGGGCAGTTTAGGCAATTACATTCTGTTCCATTTTTCTTATTTTAATTTTAAATTAAATTCCAGTTTTCTTCTTTTTAGATTTAGAAGATTTAGAAGAATTTGACAGATTGAGATCTTGATCGAATCCAGATTTACCAATCCAAAACACTATAAAAAGATACTTATTAAAGTTTTATAGATTGATAAAGTAATTTTATAAGTTAAAATAAGTTTAACCTTCGAAGGTTAAACTTAGAAGCCTAAGTTTAAGGCTATTCCCGTAGTTCCCGTAGCTAAACTGTTACCGATCTATAGAAGGTAGTATAATGGGCCATTATTTGAGTTCAAGTGGACTCTTTGGAAACAAGGCTGCCATTCCAACCTACCTAGAAGGTTGTAATACATTTGCTCACATTTGAGGGCAAAGAAAATTTGTTTTGCAAAAAAATCCCCGAAAAGTTTACGCAGCTTTGGAATAAGTGTACCACTCTGGAAGGAAAGTTATTTGAAAAATGGAGTCGCACGTCAATAAAAATTGTTTTTTTTTTGCTGGATTGGAGGGTTGTTCAGTATTAAGTTATAAGTTCAAATTATTAGTATATTAACACTTAAAGAAGATTTTCAACAACAATTTATATTTCAACCGTTTCTGAAATGCATATAAATAATTTTATTAATAATAGGTAAGTCTCAGTTTGGATTGATTAGTTTGTGTATCAGATTTGGAATATAAATTACCAGATTTATTAATTCCAACACATCTTCCAAAGCAGTTCAGTTTAAATATGTATGAAATTTTTGATCTTGTCTTGATTTAAAAAAATAAGTACCTAAACAAAATTTGTAATTAAACATATATACGGACTGACAAGTGCTAAAAGCTTACAATAAATTAAAATAAATTAATTAATAATTATGTAGTATTAAAATAAATTTATGCATGTGATAACGTTTTCAGTTTTCTATATCATAATTAATTAACAATAATTAATTCTCATAGATATGAAAATATAAAAAATTCCTATTAACAAAATTTTTGGTTAAATTTTAAAAATTTCAATGAGAAAACTAGACCAAGGAGCAAAATATATAAACAAAACAATAAGTTTTATCTTAAATTAACGAATAGTAGATAAAACAATACAAATGCGTAATCATGAACCAATTTTGTTT